CTTCTGGCATCTTCTTTGTAAATTATATAAAGAATTGTTCCCATTAGTGTAAAAAATGTATACCGTATACATATACGGAGATAGGTTTATATACGTGAGAGTGTGTGTGTCAGATAAATAAGGACGAAAAACGGTGAACGATGGTAAAAACGGCGTATCCGTTACAGTCCGCCTCGTTATCTTAAGAAAATGATCTGCAAGGACCGCTCATTATAGAGCACAACCATTACTTCGGGCTATCTTTCGCGTTTCATTCGTCGACTCGGTTACGTCTCTGACACATACATATACCGTTCACGATAGGGGTCGGGAACGTGGACGGGATAGGGGTTCGGGGCCGTCGATATTCACCTCGTTTCAACTGACAAACGTTACGATTGGTTTATCAATGGATTAACAATTCATTCCATGCCGGCCGTAATGATAATTACGCCGTTTCGATCTATTCAGTCGTGGAAAATTGATTCCATTATTACCACGGGACAGGGAACGGGGAGGAGCAAAAGTTAGCTAACTTTAATCGCGAAATAGCTGTTCTTATTTTTCCTTTTCCTCTCGTCCGTTCGCTGCATCCTTTATCGATTATCTTATTCGCGGCGCGACGTCTTCCTTTTTACCGAACGACCGGGATAATAACGTATAATCGACGAATGGAGAATGGAATATCGGATAAATAATTTAAGGTAATCTCGGAAGAGTAAGGAATATTTGGGTCGCGATGAAATATATCGTGTCCCAGATTCTTCGATGTCACCGCGGAAAAAGGGTACGCGAAACGGGAATGAAACAAACGAGAATGCTCGAACAAACACGGATCCAAAAATCACCGGCCCTCTGATCACACGTTACCTCTGTCTACACACTCGTCCATCGTTCATTTCAACAAACGATCGGAAGTTATACCTGCGCGTTCTATAAGCTCGCGACCAAAACATTGCCCGTTTCACGTATTGCATTTTTTATTTGTCATCCCGTAAACTTTAAAAAATCTATTCCGCACGTATGTCTAGTACAGACGTTCGTTTTTCATAAAAATCTCTGCTTTACGCTTTTCACGTAATAATGTATAGTCCTATTTCTTTCAACCGTGTGATTACTGGACACCTTTTAACGTTATCTCACCTCCATTTAACCGTTGCCACCATTCATGCAGCCAGTTCTTTTGCTCATTTCGTGAGAACCAGACGAAAGGAACTAATCCCTGTTGGGAGAGCATCGACGCCGTGGCAGACTGTATTGCCAGGCCGCTTCAACCGCAAAATCATACCGGACGCTGCTAAATCCAAGCCGGATAGAGGCAGCCGCGCCACGCTCGTCGATCCACCATCAGTACAGTGCGATTTAATCTTTGCTCCGTGCGCGACGTAAAATAACACGAAATTGCAATGTCCGGTGGTGACCATGAGTGGCCGGTGCACCCTGCCACTCTCTGGGTGCTTAAAGGTGCGCGAACAGTATGCCACGAAGAGGATGCTGACGGAGTTCCGAGTCGGATTACTCGCGGCATGAGTTAGGCGACTCCGCTCCAGCTCAGGATAATTACATGTGGCGCATTAAGGTAGTGTATGTACTGGCTGCATATGTATAATTACTGGCGCGGTGGGCGCGCGCGTGCGCTATCACGAAGAAAACGTGTTAGTAGATACACGCGTTGACCAGAGCGGAGCGGAGTGCAGTAAATGCGAACGTTTCTCCATCCTCCACTCAAGGGGCTGCAGCTCGTTCGCTTCGTAGCTCACCTTAATATGTGTTACCTCTCGATGCAATTATCAACTGACCCCGATGTTATATGTTGCGCATCCGCCGGCATTCCATTTTGGAATTCGACGAGAGCGAGAATCCGTCGCGACCTGATGCCTAGGCAAAGAGAACGGGAGAACTTCATGAACTCTTAATCAGTTGTAGACTGCATATTTACGAAGACATTTAGCCTCATCTATTCAGCATACCAAATTAGACGCGAATACCCTCTTTATTATCAATGTTACTGTAATTTTCCTGAAACTCATGCAACGTACACTGAAGATTCCTTTAACTGAATTCTATTGTTCAAGTCTTATCACATATGTATACGTAGAATGTAATATAAATTGCTGATGGTTTTCTTTATTTCGTATTCATCAGTCTGGAAGATCGATCGGGATGACCCGCTGTTTTCTCTCGGCCGGTTGCTCGAGATTCTCAGGCGTTCCCATTGGACGGGGCGAGTGTTCGGCAGCAGTACTACGAAGCGGGACGTAATGAAATCCAAATAACACCCCCTGCACGCGTATATCATCGTAACGACGCCCTCGGACCGCCGCCGCCACCACCCTGTGCGGCTGCTCGCCGTCCATAAATTAGCGCAAAGCGCGTTATTTACAGGCTTTCGAACAACCGTTTTCACGGCCCCGCCAATTTAGCCACTGTCCGCTTTTATTCTCATCGATCAATTTGCCCTTTTTACAAACGTTCGAATTTCTGCGGAACGATTTTTATCCATCCCGGAACTCTTCCCTATCGTCTTTAAATTCGCCACGAATTCCCCAGTAACGAGTATCTAAAGCAAACGGCAATTTTACTAAATTAACGACGCTTCCAATTTCCTACGCGTTCACGCATTTAATCCCTCAAACATTTACTCGCAGACGCCATTATGCAACTGCACCGACTGCTGCGCCCAGGTTGCAGAGCTTCCGAGAACGCGTATTTGTTATTCCGCATCATTTCGTTACCCGGGCTCAGCGCCAGTGTGTCACTGCGTTTTTAAGCCGGTCTTTCTCGTTAGCCGGTATGGAAGCTAACAGGACGGATTATTTACAAACTCGAGAACACTACATATTATATTTCGCGAACGAGCGTAACTGGATAGGAAACTCCGATAACGTTCGGAGTTTAAGTTCGTGGCGCGCTAAAAAGTCCACGTTCTACATAAACTATTCCGGGGAAAAATCGAATTTAAACGACTAGACTCTTGGATACGCGAGCAGAAACGAGATTCGAAGTGCGGCGTCGCTAAGATAGCTTGAGTCTCGCTTTTTCAGCTTGGCCCAGATATTGGTTTCGTCATCGAGATAACAGGCTTCGCATTATCTCGGAGTCTCCCTCAAGCAGAGATACCAAATTCCGCTAGAGAGATATGTTTTTCTTCCACACACGTTCTTTAAAAGATTAATTTCTCATAAAAGTTGTCGATTTACAGCTGTGAAATCTTTGTTTCTCTTTTAATATTTACAAAGCGAAAGACGACCGATCAAAACTTCACTTCATTGGTTAATTCAGGGCTTTTTTTGTGACACGAGGTAAGCAGTGCAAAGTTCACCGACGTCTGTCCTTTAACGATTCACCTTCTCGGGGGTAGGATAATTCTAAAAGACAGCCACGGATATGGTACTCTCGACGCCATTGGGGTTTACGGTTACGGTTAAGTACAGAGCAAAGAGATCGTATCGTTTTCCGAACGATTTGGCTAATCGAGTGGCGCGGCGCGGCGCGGCGCGGCGCCCGCGATGGGAAGCGAGAGAAGAGAGGGCATCGGGCCACAGCTATGCGTATCCGGTCGAGCGGTACCACTACCAGCTGCAGGAATTTAAACGGGACGTGGAACCAAGGACCTGGAACCAGCAAGAAGCTGGAATTTTTTAGTAATAGCCGCGATACGTTTCATTTGTCGCACTGTTAACAGTTAATTCGAATTTCTTCTCGGCGACGGAAAATCTATATTTACGATTCATTTTGGTTGAACGACGTGATTCGATGATATTAGTAGCACAATTCCGTTAATAATTATTGCGAACAATATCCTGTTCATGCAATTCAATCTACGACACTCCTAATCACATTTGCGAACTACTAGATGAAACTTAATCACCCTCTAGGCCATCGAAACGCACTTTACAAACCAGGGAAGCCGCAGTTGTTTGATTCCCAGTTTACTGGCGTCTGCCCAACCAGCCGCATTTCGTAGTAAGTGGCTGCGATAATAAGTGGATACCGTGGGACAGCGTGGCACATGGCGATTGCTTCCGGTCGAGTGGCTAATCATCGGAAACCAATACAGAGGCGACGGTACACGGAGAGGGGGGGGGAGGGTGTAAGGGAAACGATGGGAACGGGGTTGCATTTTTCGTCAGATCGTAGAGTTCCAAGTTCGGGTGTAATCCCTCTTCCCTTCCGGGCGACTCGAAGCCGATGTCTCGGCGCTTGAAACGCAATTACCTCGCGTTCATCGACGTTCTACTCTCACGATCGAGGGGAGAAAAAACGAGCGAATCATCGATCACGATGGACGACGGGCCGCCCGGACGCTGGAGAAAAATGAAACATGCCAGTGGAAAGACGCGCGTATCAGGAGCAATTAATGTGACGCAAAATTGAATTTCATCGAAGCAGAATTGCACCGTTAGGCGGAAGTGGGAAACCGTATCGCGATGTTCACGGAACATCCGAAGTTTACGAGACGAATGGCATGGAAGACGTCTGCTTTATAACGTGGATCGCTGCTACTAATGCCGCATTATTCTCTCTCTTAAGCTGAGCTCGATACCATGTCGCGTCTCTCTTACGATCGAAAATAAAATTCTGTCTATGCGGCCGTTCAAATATTATGCGGGAAGTATCTCAAACGAGCCGGGGTTCGCAATAGAGATACGGGACCGTCTCATCACCGCATTTATTATTCAGCCGTCTGAAACGGCAATAATGTCGGATGGCGGTATTTAATTTTCGTTCTGTTGAATCATGGCGCGGAAGTACATCAAAATATATATATATATATATATACGTATATCATCCGGCGCGTTACGATCCATAAAGTAGCGTGGAACGAATGAAAGGGGAGAGAGTGGCGAAGGATCGAAGGAAACGGAAGCGCAGTTAGGATCGGAGAGGAATTTTAACGCGCGGGGAAGCCTACGGCCTCCCACACTTTCTATCGACGATTGCGAACAGTCGACCCAGAAACTGCGCACCCCGGCGGAGGGCCTCGTTTATTTCCTGACAGTCATTTCCTCTTCTTTCAGGAGGGAATCGGATCCTTGAAGGTGGTGCCTGGAGGGATCGAGCTCAGAGGTCAGGCCGCCGTCCTCGACGCCCTCGTGGCCTCGAGTTTGAGATCCAGACGGGGGAAAAATCTGGTGCTGGAGTCGTGGAACAACTTCACGGCATCGGCCAGATCGCATGACGGACGGTTGCTCGCCCGGTTCACCGTCGGTGAGAACACGATTCATAAAAGATCCCACTCCTCTTCCGACAGTGTCCCTGTGCCAACGTTATTGACCCTGGGATACGTTTAAGAAAGAAACCTGCTCAGACTCGCTATACGTATACATTTATTGTGGAAATTCACGTAGTCATTCAAATTTGATACATGAGTACAAGGTACACAACCACGACGATTACACATTAACTACGTTAGGGTTGGGTCGAGTATTCCAATTTACGAGATCAGACTTCCGACACAATTTGTCGGTACGCGAATTCGTTGATTGTGTTTTGATGTAGGTAATGGGGTCGATCCGTTCGAGGACCAGTGGAGGGAAACGAATCGATTTGGAACGGCGCGACACAGCGGTGGTCGGAGTTAATTTGAATCGTTCGGAATTGATGTATAGTTAATGGTTAGCCTTTAATTGACGGATAAAAAGTTTTCGTTGTAAAAGTAAACCCCCTCGGAGCTTGAAATTGTAACTAGAACCCGATCGCGCGACCTCTGAAAACACAGAAATCCGATAGAGAACCGAGCGCGGGATTTATCGATGAACGTACTGCGATTTCCTTCGGCATTTTTTCCACAAGATGCGCATCCAGTTTTATTTCTCCTTTGTAATAGTACCAGGTATACATATATTTTTGTCTCGAGATACAAAAGGACGAGTATCGATAACGCGGAACAGCTAACGGGGTGAGATGTGTCGGTTAATGGACACGGGCAGCGTTCCATTCGCGTCGGTTTTACAACTACGAAACTAAATCACGCGACAATCGTCGTCGTGTCGAAGGCTCCGAAGCGTTGTATTGCTGTCGACGACGATCGAGTTTTTAAACGATCACGTTCACAGAAACGAGAGATAGAGAGGCGTGTTGAAACGATAAAACTTATTCAATTTTTACAAAAGGTTCTGAACAAAATATTTTTAAAAGCCTGTGTGATATTCTTCACCCTCGAATTTTTCGTTAGAAAATTTCGCAGACGTCTGAATGTGAAAACAAGCACGGTAGCTCATAAGCAAAGTAAGCAAGGTAAAACTTGTCGAAACAGTTAATGAATCCAAATTAATTCCTCGTAGTTCGCAGTAACAGTCTTAGCACGATATTAATGCGAACCACGTAGAATAAACAAGTAAACAAAGTTTCGTTTTGTATCACAAATCGGCTCGCGCTTCTACTCCATTATCCCTCCGGAGCATTCCGGGAAACGTGATTTTCTGTTATGGGTCGATTTCCAACGGGAACCGTTCACCTCTCGCCGATCCTTAAATGAAAAGACGGTGGACGCGAGTGTCTTTTGTCCACTTTACAGGCGAGGATCGCGTGGACTGCGTGTCGAGAGGCTTCCGGATAACCGACCCTCAAGGAGGAATCCTCTTCTCGGCGGATAGGGAGCAGGTGGTAGTGGGCGCGGAAATGCTGAGGGTAACTGGCGACGGGGGTGCTGTTTTCAAGACGAGTGTCCAAACGCCTCTGGTCAGAGGGGATTCGAGCCGTGGTCTCAGGTAATCAGAATAAAAGAGAATCGAAATATTCGATAATCGAAAGAATATTTCGATGGCTATGAATGTATAATGGAAAAAATTGTAAAGCGAATGAGAAATCATTTTAAGAGAGTTATGAAAGAAAGCTCTGATACGTGCAAACGATATCCTTCAGTCGTCTTCTCCAAAAACAGTCAAGTATTGTTATTTATGGCACGGCTTATCAAATATTGACCAAGAAGGATCACGTTTAAAGGTGAAACGATTCCGCCAAATAAAAATAACAAATGTAGGTGAATGTGTAATTTGATTAAACGTTGCCGAGTTCAAGTGCTTAACAATCTCGAACTCTCACAGATGGTCGTTATATCCTCGTCCTATATTCGTTTCCGTTACTTCTAAGAATGGCTTCTGCTTAATTCAATAAACCCACGTCTTGATTTTCAGACTGTTTTTTCTACTCGTCCGATGATAATAATAATAATAATCCGGGATGCAAATAGACTTACATAAATAATAAAAAGTTTAACAAGCGATGTGTTGAATACTCAGTCGGATCAAACGTTGCGACAGGTCCACTGAAAGCAGAGAGCATTATTTATACATCATGTTTTCTTAGTAACTATCGACAGAAGTGAAATAACTAAATCTCATGAATATTCCTTATCGAGTCGATGAATTCGTCTAACTAGATTTAATTAGACAGAAAACTGATCGAATTCTCGTTTATATTTCGAATCTTCGGTGTATTAAGAAATACAAGCCGGAAGTAACTATCAATATACTTGATCTTTATCAGTCTTGAAAATATCCATCGATGGCATCCGTTTCGTCGTCTCGTACCGTCGCCGAAATGTCATCGAGACATAATTTCGCGAAGGGGGACGCAGATCCTACGTATTACGTGCTCCACGAAATCGGCAAGGCTCGCAAAAAACTGGAGACGGGATGGGAGTGTATTACTCACGCGGTTATTGATACACAGTGTCGGGCAATTTACAGACGGATTTACGATTACAATAAAACTTTACTCGCGCGGAAAATTATATTCATAGGATTGGATTTATGCCAGAGATATGAAATATCGGGGATGCGGAATGCCGGAGATGCAAGCAATAGGTCGATGATGGGGGAGCGAGGCGTAGCGGCATTCTGGGTGGTATTGGGAGAAAAGGCATCGTCGAAGACGCTGCTTTACCACTTCTTAGAAAGGAGGGATCGATTATTGCGAGCCTGACGTTGCCATCGACTGGATGCCGTATTGCTTCAATTCCGCGATATTGCGAACAAGTTTTCGGCCTTTTGTTCGTACGTTTCGTTACTTTTCGTTCATCTTTTTTCGTATTTAGTATTTCCAAATGGATGAAACAAGTTATATTGCTTAGCGCGTTGGAAATGTTCGTAAAGCGGAGTTTAATCGATTAGCGTTTATAATTGAGTACGTTTATAATTTGAGAAACACCTCGGCTGTAGAAGAATAAATAATTTTGTTTAAATAGACTGGAGTCTGCGACCAGATCGCTGAAGATCAGTGCTCCCCAACAAGTGGCAATCGAGTCGTGGGCGAACGAGATCTCGGCGTCGTGCTTGACGGACTTGAAGCTTCAAAGCGTGCACGGTGCCATCAGGCTGGACGCGAAGTCTCTGTTCATGAAGGGACTGAAGGCGGCGAGTCCGAGTCAGAGCCACTCGTCGAGAGAGCAACAGCAGCAGCAGCAGCAGCAGCAGCAACAACAACACTCATCGAGGACGTCCGGAGGCCACCAGAGTCACACGACCATCTATCAGTTATGTGCCTGTGCTAACGGCAAACTCTTTCTCGCCAGGTCCGAGGAAACTTGCCAAGCAGACAAATCCATTTGCTAATACCGAACTGGAACCGATCGACGTTTAACAACACAATGAAATTTCTTCGCGACAGTAGAGTCACCGGCTCCAACGAGGAGCAGCCGGTCTGCCGGTGATATCGAAATTGTTACGCGAAACTGTCGTAGCGATCCATGCAGGTGGTGATGTACAGTAGTCGAAATCTCAAAGATCGCCCGAGGCCTTCCGCTTTTCGCTAGTGTTTCCGTTTCGAAGTGAAAACGACCATCTCAGTCGCGTTTTTGTCCCGCTGGATGCGCGTAAGGGATCTTCGTGAACGAGAGAGGACACGAATTTTATCTTGTAACTGTACATTAACGAATATAAGAGCAGTGTGAACGAACGATTTCTAGAATAACCGATACAGCGAGAAATGTTTGCGAGATGCATGTTTAGAATATTCCTAACGGCGGTACTGATCCTAGGGGATGCATAGTTCTTCCAGGTATTGCGAAGGTGCTACGTGAACTTGTGTACGTCGACGAGCCTGTGCGATCACCGAATAGACAGCGCCCTGAGTTGTCCGCTCGTTCCTGTCTGTCCTTGCCGTGTCGTAATGCCGAGTCCTTCGCCCAATTTCCTCCTGCTGGTCTTTGCGTAAGAAGAGCGAAGAAAAAGAGAAAAGTTCGAATTGACATGTCGGTAGGCAACGATTCCTCAGTTCCTTTGAGTCAGAGAAAGAAATGCATAGAATGAGGAATGCGTTCGAGAGGGAGGACGCGAGTGTATGGAGACGGTGTACCTAGCTGCGTTCATACTATTATAGTTTGAAAATGATTCGTGTGTGTTTATTCGCCTGGTTCCGGATTAGCGTGACACGTGGGAGCGACTAGAGGAACGTTTATTTTGAAGCGTGTTTTGCGATGAGAGAAGCAAGTGTAGTTCACTGTAAAAGGATCCGATTGTGTGATCCAGCTTGTACGCTGTACATCGGCCATGTCCATCTATTTATGTATGTGGCAATAAAGTCGTTATTGTTACTATTATTATTAAAATGGGAAGAATCCTTTCGCCCCGGCGAGTTGCATACCAGTCGTATACCTCATACCAATTGCTCATCCAGGTAGGTACAATTTCATTTTACGTACAATTCGCGAGCAATCATCATTCGCATCTGGAATCATCCTTACGAATTCTTCGGCGCATTTTTACACGTTAATTAAAATTGCACAAACGCGAAGAATATCAGTCGAAAACGAGTGCAGCTATCTTTAGAGAAACTAATTTATCATTTCCCGGTTAAAATCTCGTCCACTCTATAAAGAAATACTTTGGTTAATTGATATCGCGCGGAATCCCGTTTCTCTTTCCGCGCGTGTCAGGAAAGAAACCCAGCTGGATGTTTCAGTTACTGGTTCGGTATATAGATTTTTGTCGAGAATACTTGAACGCGCAGACACCAGCCGGTTGGCGCGATAAACGATAACGGGGCGAAATTAGGCAAAACGAAAATAGTTTCGTGAAAACCCGATCTCGCTACATAATATAGTATATGTCAAGCAGGCTGACAGGTAGCGGAGGCAATCTCACCTAGTAGCCCCTTAAACGGCTCTGACGGCAAGGTAATTTTCTCGGAATTCGAGATTAAAATTGCATCCAGGCTAGAAGGGAACAAAGTACGGCCCGTGCCGCTTTCCCTCTGGTTTCGCGCCGCGCGAGGCGGTTGTAACGATGGGGCGAAGATGAAGGCGGTGGGGCCACGGAGCAATCTAACTGGCGGACGGAAAAAGATGGGGAGACGGAGAGAGGAAGCATAAGCGGTGTGAATTAGCAGTGGACGAATAAAAAATACTCGCCGGATGAAAAATGCCTCTTAGATCCCTTTGTATTACCCTAAGACGTACCGGGATCCAGGGGAACACCGTGGGGAACGGGGCAGAAAATGCTCCAACATTGGCGGTAAATTCTCCGCATCCCCCCTCCAGCGGTATCGTGCGCCAGGAAATTTAGCACCCATATAAGATCTTTTATTTTTTGGGGTTTCCTCGGGTTTGTAAAATTCCTTCGTTTAATTAATGCGATCCGTAGTTGTGAATTTATAGGATTCGTGGATTGGTATAGGGTGTACTGTATATTCGTGTGATTTTTAATAATTTTACCGTTGCCCTTAATTGTAACAATAAATTGTTTCACCAACGAGTTCAGAACAGAGATATTTAATTCGTGACTGGGAGCAGAGATGCATCGTTAGCGTTACAGCTTGCTTAATTAGAAGCCTAATGAGCGACCGCCGCTGTGGCTGGTCACCGATAAATGGATTATAATGACTATATAGATCTAATCGCAACACCTGCAATTATTCAAGCCTCCCCCAACCCCCTAATTAAAATCGGTATTAAGAAAAAAAGTGAATTTATTCGTAATGCTGTTCAAAATCACAAGACATCTTTTTATCCGTTCTAAAACGGTGATTACGGGCGACAAACTTTATCGTGGACGCGTAGCACGGTCTCAAAGAAACGACCGGATAATTAATCTGGAATCTATTCAGGAGCCATTACCAACCGCACTCCGACTCCGAGACTGATTAATTAACCAGCCGCTTTGTTTATACAGTCCCGGGACTACTAGCGAGTAGTTGGCCAGTTAAATTACTTGCACGATGCTCGAGCGACGCGACACCCTGGCAGTTTTAAAGGTAGCTCACAACGGACGCAAATTCGTTCACGTGGGGTGGATAAAGCGGCAGTTCCACTTGAAACGCGTTCGCTTAGTCAGCCACCTGATTGAGTACAAAGCGGACAATCATTAAGGCTCTCATATGGTCAAACCAGGCAAAGCCTCGGCTTAAGACTTAACTCTCGTTACCCTCGAAAAGAAAGGGAGAGAAGGTAACAATCGCGAACCGGCGCGGCGGCGCGCGGCGGCGCGCGGCGGGTGTCGTGACGTACCCAGGCGGAACCTGATGCTTCTATGGAGCGTGAAATTGTCACGCGATACGATAAAACTTTAAATACAACTTATTAGCGATAATGACGTCGTGTAATTAGTAGCGCGCACTATTTGTAATTAGTAGCTAGTTCTCGCGACCTCCTATTCCCCGTGTTCACTCGTTCCTAACCAAGTGATGTTCATCGAATTGGTCAACTGGAATTGTAATAAATATTTTTCAGACGGATTCTTCCTGAACGAATATTAAGCTTAAAATAAAGAAATCTAATATTTTTATTCAATACTGTTTTCCGCTCTGCTAACATTTCCCTTGTTTTATTAATTTATAAGATAACAGCTACGGATTACGGATATTACTCGATATCTCGATATCTCGATATCTTTCTGGTATCAGACAATTCGACTGTATCGATTGGCTGTCTGATCAATATGTGTATGCAGCGTAATTAGTTTTGCACGATAGCAAGCGGCTGTTCCGGCGAAAATTCTCTTGCCGGATGTCCCGTTGACCCGATGTCGGCCGCTCAATTTATCGAGTATGAAGGGAGCGTAACGTGACGGGGCAGTTAGCGGCGGATGCTGGTAAGAGATTCTCGAGCGCGCGACGTCTATTTTTCGACGGATAGGGAGGAAGGAAGCTGGAACGGAATATTGAATATCGAATTAGGACACTAGTTGCAGACGCGGACTGGGTGCCAGGAGTAACGTAATCGCCGGTAGTTAGTTGACTTGAAATTTCGGAATGGAGGACAGACCGATAGAAAACTAGTGTAATTTTTGCTTTTCATTCATAAAATTACATGTGTGTCGTATCGAATCATGTTTCCATTTTTATCGTTAACTCGGTGTGAAAGATCTTTCCGTTTTTCGCTTGTACAAATATTATATCCGGTGTTAAATAGGTGACGAAGACGTAGAATATATTCAAGTGTCACTATTTAATTATGTAATTTAACAATTTCGGCACTAAAGCCGAGCGTCGTAAAGAAAGCAATTCTCTGTCGAACTCCTGTCTTGGAACAAGAATCACGTTCGTCTAACGTGGCCCGAGGAACGACAAAGAATTAGAGACAACGGAAGACCGAGGGAGAGAAGAGCATGGAAAGGGGTAACTCGATAAGGGTTTCCGAGAAGGCCACAGTAACGTCGTCATTGGCTGCTGTGTTTGTTTAAAGTGTAAATGCAAATTATGGGATGGCTATAACAGGTTGTTGCTTCGCGAGCAAGCGAAGAGGGTGGAAGCACGGAGGGTTGAGAGGGAGCAAACGTTTGCAAGTTAAGGAGATTGTGCTGCGCCGGCGGTACGGCGGGGACGTTTGAAGACCGCGAGCACACTTCTCTCTTCCAGATCGGTACAAGGAAGGAATTGTCTGAGACTGGGGGGTTTGAAACACCCCCTCTTGCCTCGAGGGCACTCTCGCTCCCGATCAAACCCGACAAATGGATAAATTACTCCGACTTGGTTGGTGACACTGTCGGGAACTACGTCAAGCCTTCGACTCTGTCCCAGCCCGTTCGAATTCGATTTCTTGACAGCCGTGCGCCGGATGAAATAATATTAACAGTGAAAGGACGGGGAAACTGATGTCGGTGGATCAATTTGTCTGGTTTGTGACTTTTCACGTAACTACAGATCCATGCTGAGCTGTCTCCGTGAAAATTTCGGATCTTCTCTTTTTTGCCTCTGTCATAATTCGTGAATCACTGGAACCGTATACATATTTGTAAAAAAAATTTACCATCTTGACTTTCATCAACGAAGGGAAATTTGTTAGTGAATTCTCCGTTTCATCTCTGTCTCATCTGTTCACTTCTTGAAGTTGAGAGAGAACGCAATGTTGAGAAAACACGCTTTTCGTTCTTTTTCAAACCTTGTGAAACATTAAAGAACAAAACGAAGGGAACTTGGAACGACTACTAGAATTCCAATCCAGGTGTTCAAACATCGGTCTTCTCTCAAAAATTCAAAGAGCTGGTCAATTGAAAATTCACGAGCCTTGCGATGGTCCTGAAAGTGAAACTCCCTCGGCGAAACGGGAATGCTGCGCACCGATCGGGGGGAACCAGGAACCCTGGCCTTCCACTGGCTTTACGAGACAGCATTAATCGTTTATCTCCAACCGCGTTCCTCTGGAACCAATGTAGAATCGAACGTGGCTTTCTGTTGATACCCACGTATAGGTACCGTTCTCCACCGAGATACCTATGGAAAGTGACGTCCAGAAACAAGCCTCGTAAATCGTTCCTCGTACCAGTCTTGTATTTTAGACGAGGGCGACTCGATTGCTGCAGAGAGCGAATTGGAAAACGTTTGGGAATAAGATCTCTGCGACCCGAGGTCACTTAAAGTTTCGCCCAAAGAAGGCAAAGCGAAGGGGTCGAGACGAGCATGTGAGTCTGCAGGTTCGAGTCGAAGAAGGGGAGAATAACGATGGATGCGCCTCGAACGGAGACGAGGGGGTGCCGTAATGGCGGCTAAATTCCTGCAACGACCGGATGCAATTTAATGCCAGTCGTCGTGGCGCTATCATCGCCTCGCTGATGCAATATCTTTCGAGTTTCCGGCGTCTAGTTAGTGCGGAACGAGCTGTTGATAAATCTCTCTCGTCCCACTCCACTGCCCCGCTCTCTCTTTCTCCTTCCTACCGAACTCCCCACCATATGCCTTCCCAACGACTCCTCCGACCGCTCGTTCAACCACCCCATCGTGCCAACACCACCGCTCCTCGGTATGTGCAGGCCATTTCTCGGGAGCGGAATTACATCCCCCAAATTGTAATTTTGTCGGGCACCACTCTACGGCAACACCCGCGTTATTTCCCCTACCCACGCGTTTTCATCTTTCCTTTACCTTCTCCACTGCGTCACGCATCGCGTCCCCGAATCCGAGGCTCTTTTTCCAATACGACCGGGCAATAGGAAACGGCAAAGTTCCTCGGAGTGGTGGTGAGAACGACGTCGTCCGGCTCGCGTGACACGTGTCTGCGAATGAGCATCGATTTCCGGTTGGGACAGGTGTTCCCTGGCTCTGTTCTCCAAAAGGGAATTAGGCGTCCGAGTCGATACGCGAGGAAAGAGTCGTCCGAGGGCCGAC